ATGAATGAGCCAACGTTGATAAGTTTGACCCGAACTTATCAAGTCATCTTCCAGTTTGCTGGTGTAACAAACACTTGTTTCTATCATGCAAAATGCACAAATACTTCCGATAAATCAATTATCAGATTTTCATCATATTTATATTGTAAAATATCAGCTGCTGGACACAATATGAAGAAGTTTTGAACTCAACATCAACTTCATATTGTGACTGGCAGCTGATATATAACAATATCAATATGCAGATAACTTGATATTCGGTGCGTACAGGTTAATAACAACTACTGAACAGTTTGAGCATAGATTAGACAGATCTTAATTATATACAAGCGAAATGTCTGAACAGTACTGAATATACCACAATAAATAAGTCTGAAAATTAACTGAAAGACTGAAAATGACTTAATAATTTATTGTTCGGTATTTTAGTTGTTCATATCAAAATGATCATTGATCAGATAAACATTGGTCTACTAGTAATATAAACATATAGAATTCGAAAACTTTTAGCGGATCTTATTAAAGTTTTTTATTTTTATTTTATTAGAAAATTTTCTGTATACTACAGTGTATTCTTATTTTGTTTTCCTTACATGGCAATAACGTTTGACTTCCTTTATTGACAAATGGGACTAACTATCTCCTCGATAACTTTGGGTTTTTTTTTCTGAATTAATATCATAGTACAGATGCACATATTGTAAAAAGTTTTAAAGAAAAAAAAAATCAAAAACGGCGTATATTATACTTTGGCATTGGCTGAAGTTTTTTTTAAAGATTATACATTTTTTGAGTGGTAGCTAATTTGCTATGCGAGATAGATAAAGACACATTGAGGTCAGTTTCTTTTGGCTGTGTAAATCCATAGTACTGTCCCATACTGAAGACAAAATACAAGATAACCTTGAACTAAGGAAACTGTGACAGAAGTTGGAGATTTTGTACATTGGCTGAACCTTTGTCTAAATCCTTATCAATTTATTTTAAATGAAAAAAAAATATTTAAAATTTAAAGCTTTTACAGCATGCCATAGTCTAAATCAAACAATTATAAAAATTAATGTACTTTAAAAGCAGGACATCGACCATTAAATTCATTTTTTTTTTTCAGATTTGGGATACTGGCTTGGAGGTTACAACTTTAAGGAAGATGATGATCTTGAATGGATAAGCAATCCTACTGCAGAAATGCCGTTTACCAACTGGAATCCTAAACAACCAAGTGATCAATATTATGAACGTTGTCTAATTGCATTTAGACTGCATGATTATAAATGGAATTCTTAAATATGTAAAAAGGTTTATTAATATCTATGTATATGCTCCAAGGAAAAAAAAGCTGTATTACAGCTCAAAAGTAAAATGGAAAACATGGATTAGACATGCAAAATAATAACACAGTTCCAAAGTAAGTTGACACAGGGATAACATATGTATAAATCCGGCTGGTACATGTATTTATGTCTTTTTTTCAAATTATCGTTTCCAATACAAAATGTATACGTGATGATATAGGTGTTGTTTTTTAATATTCAAACGTGTTAGGAACATTGTAATTTGATTCTGGACTTATCCGTATTTATAAAGTTTCCTACATGTCTAGTCTCTCTTCAATTAAGAAGTTTAACAAAAATACAGAACTCCAAGGCAAATTCAATAAAGGGAAGTCCATAAAAACTGACAAAATTAAACGTGATAAATCTACGGAGCAAGTGAAAAACAACTGCCATATGCCAGACTTTGTACAGGCTTTTTCTAAAATAATGAAGGGTTAAAGCTGGTTTTATGGCTAGCTAAACCTCCCAGTTTGTTTACAGTAGTTTATAATTCCGTTATATTGACATAGTTTGGTGAGCAACCAAAACAAACGTAATAGGTTAATGTTACAATAATTGGGATCAAGCAGCCAAAACTGAGTAAGCATACATCATTGATATACAACATAACTGACTAAAAAAATTCAAAAAAATGTTAGAACGTGAAATATCAATCGTTTCTTCACCATACAATTTCACAGATTGAAGTTACGCCAATTTGAACATATCCGTAGACATCTGCGAAACAGATATTCAATAACGGTAACTAGACAAGTTTAAATATTGTAGACCCCAAAATCATCTAAACTATTTGCTCACAATAAAAATCATGTCCGGAATTTTAAATTCATAATTTTATTAAATAATCTATGCAAATTATGTTACACAATTTCATTTTGCCCAGCATTAAGTCGTCTTGCTTTCAATATTCAGATTTCCCTTACTTATGGGTATCGATGTTGTTACATATGAAACATGGTAGTCACGGTGGAAGTGACATGTCATGATAGGTCTTGGTAGTAGTATTTTTTGTCAGATTGCAATTTTCAGATCTATCCACAAACTTTAAGGTAAATTCATTAATGTTCAGACTCAGATTTCGGCATTTTAATTGCAATGAATAACACGATGGGTGTCACTAGTCATTGCAAGTGGAGCAGGATCTGGTTAGTCTTCCACAGCACTTGCTTTCACCACAGGTAGTTGGTGTGGTTCTTGTTACTCATATTAGTTAATAGTTCTCTATCTAATTTTTTCTACGTTTGAAACACTTTTCCAACTGTTTATGTGTGTATCATTTATGCTACGGTATTGTCGTTTTTTTTAGACTTTTGACTATGGATTGCTCATTTGTGTTTCTTCTTCTTTCTTGTAACTGTAATTAATCTATTGAAAAAGCTTACTTCATTTGCATATATTATTCTGATGAAATAGGACAACAGTAGTTTATCGATGTTCAGATCAAATAAACAGATTAATAAGACATATCCAAGTAGTAACAAAAAACTTAGAACATGGCATAATTTCCAAAAGGAGCCAGACCGGGTTCGACGACAAAATAAATGTTTCCTGCCATCCAGGCATCATCCGGCATGCAAATCCACGCTCATTCCTATTTTCACAATCCGGAATGCAATCCGTTTAGATAACACTGTCTACTGATCTGCCATTAGAAGTACATATCAGATTCATCGAATTAACTTTTCTAGAAATACCAGTAATTTGTGCCTACGGACACAGAATGCATTCCGTTAATAATGAACGTGTATAATCAAGCATTAAAGGATGATTCACATCAAAGGTGTTACCAAAAAATACCACGGAAAGCCTTGCATCAAACTACCGTAAAGTGTGGAACACTCAGTAGACAATAATGAACCTTTTATGGTAATTATATATTATAGACCGCATGTCATGACAGGCTCTAACTAAAACGGGGTTGTTATTTTCAAGAAAGTAAAAAACTTACAGTTTACCATTTACTTCATCATTCTTTTAACATATTCTGACATTCTCATGGTTTCTTACATATCTGACATTCTTATGGCTTCTTACATAAAAAAATGTTTTATGACTTATCATGTTTCAATAATGTCTCTTGTGTTAAACATGACGTATGTTTCAATCGATATACAAGAACTTGTAATAGTAACTTTTAAATGATTTTTGGGTGTAAGTTCAACTCCCTATGTAATTGGGTGTTGTGGTTTCAGCATGTTCAGTGTTATAAATAAAGTGTTCATTAGAAAGAATTTCTCTCAGAGTAAGAACAATTTGTCCGGGTACAGTGACCTTTCTTTTTTTCGGACTTTTATCATGTGCTATTAATTATTATGATACAAGTCATGCCAAATTAACATAGAAAATATACCAAACAGTTACAATTGTTCTCAATATGACTATAATATATAACTCTGCAAGTTAAGATACCGTAATCACAGTTCATGTGTCCACAATTAACAATCTATTACATGACCATTACAATATATATATATATATATCATAATGAACTAGTTTACTCCTCAAGTTACTCTCGCGTCACCCGTATACAATTAGGAGATGTGGTATGATTGCCAATTAGACAACTATCCAAAAAAATATTAACCAAAAAAAAAAAAAAAACTACAAGTGAAAAACAATTGTTTTTAAATGCAAAACAAGTGTCTCAAACCAACTACAAATGTATGTATAGAATTTCATATCAAGAGAGTCAAAATAACGCAGATTTAAGCAACTATAAGTCACAATACATTGTTAGTTTGAATATTAATGGCGATAAACAATTTTTTAAAGTGCGCAAATAAAATATCAAATGAAATTCAGCTTATTATCATTTTCATTTCCCTTAAATTACTTTGGATTATTTTCATTAATGTTTAATACAAAGAATTGTCTTAAACATGATATTGTGTAAGCGTTTTAGATAGATGGTTTTCGCATAGATTAAAATCCTTCAATACAGGATCATGTGGACGCATACTTCTATTTGATCAAATAGATGAATTGATAACACAATTGAACAATAACCCAACGACACAAACAACTTAAAATCATGTTGAGGTGATTTGACCAATGATTCTTTTTCGAAGAGACTTGTAAGAACCTATAATTTTCCTTTCAAATAGAATGTTCTTTGTACCTGAGACCAACCCAGGTTTCTGTTGGATTGTTTTATCTTTACTATTCTGCGTAGCTTTTTATGGACTTTTACATTTGGTTATAGTTTTGATATTTGTTTTATGAACTCAAGGTTTCAAATTAAAACGCAGCAAGACTAAGGGTTCATCAAAATTTATTTATAAAGAGATAGGTAATTTCTAGTTCTGCAAAACTCTGTTAATTGAGCTTAAATTTATCTTGACTATAATCTTTCACAAGATAGTATGACAATGTGTTAACATTTATATGCATGTCTGCGATAATTAATTTCAAGGATAATTAACCAAATGTTTGTGTTTGCTTTAGGGCTCCGCAAACACAATGGGTTAATTTGACATTTTGTTTCTGTGAATTGATTATGATGTAGCTTTACAATAGGCCTCGATAAAATACATCAATTGAAATTAATAAAGAGCGGATAATTGCAACTAATGAAAATCTAATTAATTTTGAGACATTTTTATTGATTTTAAGCATATAATTTAACAAACATCTATACTATTTAAAAGCAGATTTCCCCCAAAAGTAGCAAGACTTAAATAAAACGGACTTCTGTTGCGTTTCGAAAAATAATGATTACGGAAAGTGTACTTTTTAGAGTTTATGTCGTGATGACAGTTGTTACTTTTTGTTCTTCAAGTTCTCATGTTTCGGAATTGACCGAAATGGTATTTAAAGTCCATAGTGATGAAATTGTTTTGTCGTCACACTATACAGAAGATGTCTATTCAGAGTCATTATCAATGTGCGCTTTGATGTGTTTATTACAGAAGAAATGTTGTGTTGCTAGTTTCTTTGATGAAACTTCGATTTGTCGACTTGACAAATCGGAAAAATGTTGTGCTGTTACTAATATTGCTGTTGGATCGAGAGCTTTGAAAAGAAATACGTATTGTAAGTAAATTAGAACAATTTTGATAACAATGCACACCTTTTGACTTTATCAGGTTTGTTAAGTCATTAATGTTTACCCAACAATTTATATTTTATTTTTTGAACAAAAAATACTGAACTGCAGTTTTCTCTGTCTGTAGATCGAGAGCAAGAATAACAAATATTTTAAAATCAAACAAAAATCTCTTTCCATGATCACACAAATTGAATAGTGTTCAATTTTAACGTTCGTTAAATATTTCCACAAGATATCCATATACTCACAATCTTCAGCAAACTTTTTTCCCAGGTCGAATGATATACCAAAAAATATTATACTAAATATTAATTCAAAAGCCCGTGACACGTGTTTCTTAAAAAAAATCACTTGGTACGTACTCTCAAACCAAAAGTATTAAAGGCTCTATATATTAACTTTTGTGATGATGAAAATTAAATTGATCTTAACAGTGCAGCAAAGCGTTTTAAGAAGATTTAACTTTACGGGAGGGTTAAAGTTAAATCGCTTTGATATGTACTACCTTGTTTGTATTGGATACCTAAGCTTCACAAAATTCCGTACAAACAACTGTACATTGCCGGCTCATCTGCATGTTCTACATAGGAATTGTCCATCAGATTGACAAAAATTATGACCGCAGTGAAAGTGGGTCTTCAGAAAAACTGTGAAATTGTTTACTCGCGTTGTGGTATCAACCATATGTGGTTTCTAAAAAAACTCTAAAAAAACTTCTCGATAATTTTAAATCTCGATCTTTCTCTGAAATTAATTCTATCAAAACATTTGACTTTTCAACCCTGAATACCACCATTCCCAATGTGAAATTGAAAAATCGTCTAAAAGAAATAATCTACAATGCTTTTCAATATAAAAATGGTAGCATACGTATACATTTATTGTTTTGGGATACCATACGGCATATTTTGTTAAAAGTGAATAAAAAGGTAAAACATGCTTCACAGAAGAACAAGTATTCAGCATGCTAGAGTTTCTTTTTGACAACATGTTAGTTGAATTTAGAGGTGATTTTTCAACAAATTGTCGGCATTTCTTTAGGAACGAACAGTACGACGCTCCTTGCCGACCTCTTCTTATTTTCATGCGAGTCGGAGTTCCTTCAGACACTTATCAAAAACAAGAAGATCAAACAAGCCGGATCATTTAATTGCACAGTCACAGATATATTGATGATGTTCTTTCCATTTACAATCCAAACTTTTCTGATTGGGTTCCATTAATATATCCCCCAGAACTAGAAATTAAAGAAAAAACAGAAACGGCTTCCTCTGGATTCAATTTTAGACTTATACCTCGAAGTTGACATAAGTGGTGAACTCAGTGCCAAAATATATGACAAACGAGACGATTTTAATTTTGAGAATATAAATTTCCCCCACCTTATCAGCAATATAATAACTTCACCTGCATATGGGATATAGATTTCCCAACTCATTCGGTATGCAAGAGCTTGCAGCTGCTACTCAGACTTTATAAAACGTCACCAGTGTCTGAGCAGAAAGTTGTCAAAGAATGTCTTGTCCATTTTCTAAAAAATTTTATTGGAAGATACCAAGACCTTGTTGATAAATATTCCGTATCAGTTCACAAATAAAACATGATGGTCTTGAAGTATAGATTCTAGGTATTGACGTTGTTTATCACCTTAATTACGTGTTATAGTGTTCTTTTTATTTGTCCTAACCTTTACTTTTAGTAATATACTTTTGTGGTGGCTTGGTTATTGTGTTATTGTGCTATGGTAAATTTTGTATTCTTGTCTTTCATTTTTGCTGATATACTTTGTCTGATGAAACTTCGATTTGTGTATATGCCATTTTTTGTTGGAATAGTTATTTATGTGTATAATAATTAAGATTATATTTCAATGTTGACTTTTGTACCCCATTTTTTTTTACATTGTACCATTATGATATTTTTTTGTTTTGCACACACGCTATTGTCAATATAATGGAATTCTATGCAATTGCCGTACAAGTGAGAAGTTTAGCTAGCTATAAAACCAGGTTTAATCCACCATTTCCTACATTAGCAAATGCCTGTACCAAGTCAGGAATATGACAGTTGTTTTCCATTTGTTTGATGTGTTTGAGCTTTTGATTTTGCCATTTTGTAAAGGACTTTCCGTTTTGAATATCCCTTGTAGTTCGGTATTTTTCTTATTTTACTTTTTTCTAAACTAAATATGGATTCTATATAATTCAAATCACAACAGTATGACATACTGCCTGCTTGGTGATGATGATGATGGATGGATGCTTAACGTTCAGCGGCAAATTAATATGCATGTTCAGGACGATAACATGTTAACGTAATATGATATTTAGCCTGTTTGTACTAGACCAACACGCTGAGTTTGATTTTTAACGTGCTAGTTCACAACGTAATAGTCCGCAGGAAGATATTTCACCTTGACCGGACACATTATTTTGACTCCGAGCCGACCAGTCTTTGCTCTTACTCCTTAATGCCGCGTGCTCAGAAGAGAAGCAGCAAATACCAATTTTAAAATCTTTGGTTTGACCGGGCCGGGGTTTGAACCCACAACTTCCCACACTCGAGGCAAACACGGTACCACGAGACAACCGAGGCAGTCGCCTGCTTGGTAGATGGTTCATTAGAACACTGACAATCTATCTGTTATGCTCAATATATATTTTGATCGTGTATTTTAGTTTTACGACACATGGTATAGCTAGACAAAAGGGGGTAGGATATTTGGATCATGCGATGTTCGTCTTTATTAGTTTTTGCTTTAGTCTAAACAATATTAACCTGTTATGGTAAGTTGTTAATAAATAAATGAAATAATCATAATTAGAGTTATAAATCTGTCCCTTGTGTGACAGTTATTTCTAAGGTCTGTTAGCCAACAAAAATCAGTTATCTAATGTAATAATTTATATTGAATAAGATGTATTTAATTTCATAATAAAACTTTAAATATTCGCCTGTTTGTTTATTGTACAGAGAAGCTAGTAATGGCTCAGATGCTGATATATTTAACTAATCTTTATCGATCATTAAAAAATAGAAGTGTAATTGCCAAGTAAAATATGAACAGAAACGCGCGTCTTTCGTACCAAATTATAAGCCTGGTATTTTGGACGAGCTTTTCACGTATCTCTAAACTGTTAAAACTTACTTCTTATAGTTTACCCTTCAACCACATTTTGAAGGGTTATAAGTCGCGAACTCAATTGTAGACCACCCATTATCAATATAACTTAAAATTTGTACGCGGAGTTAAATGATCTGCACACGTATGGTTTATGTTAACGCATTTCATATCGGTTCAGTTATTTAATAATTTCATCCGTTGGGGATCTAAACAACACGATATTTGTTTGAAGATTATGAAGTTGGCAGGACTGGTGCAATATCAAATATAATGTATTCCTTGCAGTGGGGTGACCAACAAAACAATGCAAGATTAATACTACATAAAACTAATTGAGAACTGGAAGAAGTTCAAAAGGACATATTGATTTAATCGGACGGGTTACTGTTTAGTACACAAAATTGAAGACATGTCTCTTTAAACAAAAGCTTCGATGACTTTTTCCAATTTCCCGAACACATTTCTCCTCGGAAAAACCTTTCCATATCTGTATGTACTGTAGATTCATTATTTTTGTAGGTAATAACTTTTGTGGTTTAATGAAACATTGTCTCTTAAAACAAAAGCTTCGATGAATTTTTCCAATTTCTCGAACACATTTCTCCTCGGAAAAACCTTTCCATATCTGTATGTACTGTAGATTCATTTATTTTTGTAGGTAATAAATTTTGTGGTTTAAGGAAACATTGTATTTTTCGTGAATATTTGATTTGGTTGTTTTAAAAATCTGCAAAAAGCCTATAGAAAATTTGTACTTCGTTGACAATTTAAATGAGTTATTCACTTGTAACTGCGAACTGCACGAAAATAAGTATCCTACGAATGATAATGTATCTATAGAATGTCATTAACCCTAGAATCCTGACAAAGTGGATCTCCATTCTTTGTAACGGTATACTACTGTTGCCTTTGTTTATATTAGTAGATGCTGTCCGTTTCATCGAAAATTATGACATATTGTGACCGAATCGACTATGAGTGGGCAGACCTGTAACACAAACGTCTGGAAGAAACCGATCCGTCCAGACCTGCTGTATCCGTCTTCCATTTTTGTATATTATGTGTTTGTCGATCATTAATTTTATGTGTGTAGTTACTCTGTGATTGTTGTTTGCTTCTTTGAGGTCCTTTTGGGGGGTGGGGGTGGGTGAGCAAATATTTTCTGTTTTTCCTAGCCTTATTGTCCCTTGGCGTCCCTCTATTCCTATATGTAAGTGCTCATACTCACGGCTGTGTTATTCATGTTATTTGTGTAATATTTTAAACGCCCAACATTTGAAATATGCTTTTGTATTTCGTATATTCTTATGATTTAGTCCGTTAGTTTCTCCATGTGAATTGTTTCACATTTTTTATGTTGGGGCCTTTTATAGCTGACTATAAGTTATGGGTTTTCTAATTGTTGATGGAGTCCGTAGTATTATAACTGCTTATACTCGCGTCATTTAAACTCTACTGTATAATTGTCTAATTAAAAATCATACCACATCTCATTTTTATATATGAATAAAAGGATAACAAATATGTATCTGTTTCAGTTCCACCGGTATGCACTGAATGTGTCAGCTTCGGTATGTCTTTGTACAAAATTATTGAAATTACAGCCACTTGGTCAGAGGCAATGGTAATGTATATGTTTCATTTGTACATATAAACTTTCTTTAGAAAGTCCTTATGATCAAAACTTTACAATCACATGTGTACTTTTTCTTAAAACTCAGATGGTCCGAAAAGGAAGCAGTTTTTGTTGTACTATTTACCCTGTTGTGTTGCTTTAAGTACTTTTTTTAACCGAATTCGTATAAAAAAATGTTTGTGTTCTAGCGTGATTATGTTTTGTAGTATTTTCCTACTGTTTCTATTTGTGAATTTTCTATTTGTCATTGTTATCATTCTTACTTCGATTCTTTAATTTTAATGACTATTTCGTTGGTTACATGTATATGTTTTCTTTAAATTTCCATCATTTATATGATTGCTCAGGCAATCACAATGTACACACATTACAATTAATATCAAATGTATACACTAAGACTTACTAAATGTAAAACAAACAATTATATCATTTATGATTGTCTTGTTGTAAAATTTGTATCACAATTAAAAATTAAAGTAAAACTTCATACATTTCGTGTGTCGAAAGCTCTTTTCCTTTGTTAGGACATCACATCTAAATATAGACAAGTAAAAATCTACATGACCAAATGAAATCTAAAAATAATAATCAGATGTATCTAAGGCAAATTTTACGTGATCAAGTTGGTACCTTGGTTTATCAATAATTTCTTAATCCCTGATTTTACACATAATCTTTTACATGTGCTTCATTTGATCATTTTCACAATACCCTATATTTCAGAATAAATGTACATGCTTTGGGGGATATTTGGCTGAAATAGAAACTGAAGCTGAGAGCGAGTTTATCACAAATGAGATATTCACAAGAAACACTGGGGGTATGTTTATAATTTAACTATATTAGTCATTGTATATACAATTTTATTTGGTTCTTGTTTAGGTGATAACATTTCGAAGATAATGTCATACATTGTTTGTATATATCATGCAAACAAAATCAATCATTGGGTCCAAAATGATGATATTTTAGTAGTGTTAACATATCTCTTAACACACTAGCACAGCTTTGTATTATTTAACAGGTTTTTTTGGGGTTGTTTTGTACAGTTGTTTTTCTTTCTTAATTTAATAAATGCACGTGTATTATGTTTTTAAGAAAACCATGCACAATTAATATTTTGATTGTATTTACTCCCACTTTTAATTCAAACTTTTCTGTCAGGCTGAATGTTGATCATTGATTCTCAAACAATTCCCAAAAAGCATGAAATATTGAGTCAGAAGGTTAAGATTATCTATAATTATTTAAATATGGGTTGTATGTACGGTGAGGATATCAGGATATTTAAACGGAGTAAAAATTGTGATCGACGGGGTCAGTATCTCCTGCTTTGAATGGTAGTTATAGATGATATAATACGCAAATAAAACAATACAGTTCAACGACACAAAAATACTTATTACCATACAAATTTGAAAAAAAACAGAGTGTTTAATTTATGTATTGCACCTACGCCTACTTTTGTAGGTTCTTGTGTGTGATTTTTAATCACGTATTGACTCAATCATATCGAACACTAAGATTTCCATTTCGAAATACATGTCACCATTGTTTTCACTATTTTCAGCAGTCGGATACTGGTTGGGAGGTTACAACTTTAACAATGATAGTGATTTGGAATGGATCAGCAAGCCAAATGAAAGGATGCCATATACTAATTATGCTTCTAACGAACGAAATCAACCAGCCAGTAAAAATTGTTTAATGGCCTATAAAGATTTTAATTTCGAATGGGTAGATGGATATTGTCACTTGAAATGTGCATACATATGTGAGATTTGAGACTCGTACAGAGGATGCATTGGGAAGCAGTGGCAGAGGTAGACAAGAAACTAATTTTTTGAGTCTTTGACTGTGTGCGACAAATTGATTTTAAAAAGATTTTGTTCATATTGAAAATATATTTGATTCTTATCCCATTTATATGATGAAATATATATGTTTGTATATTGTTAAAATCCCCACTTTCTTTGAATCTGCTGTCTATGTATCTATGCATTTTAAGTCTTTTCATATAAAGCATTTGTATGAGTTATCTCCCAATTTGTCTGAAGTTTAAATGCAATTTGCTGTACAGTTATGTCTTTTGCTGTAAAAACTTGTCTCCTCAAATCTCAATATGTCCATAATAAACTGTCATACATTTTGTGTATAGTGTCTTTATTAGGATTTTGTTGTTCCAGTACATATTGTGCAGATTGTATCTTCTCCTTACCATGCTACTTTTGCAAAACAATTCAACAGTAATATATATTTAAACTAGTTGAAAAAAATATTTCACTCACTCAGGTTTATCAATTCACAGAATACTAATGATATAGTGCTGATATCTTATAAAGCTTTATCAGCATGCCGTTATCTCTAACAGTACATCTCAGATGAAAGTATTAAGTAATATTCTTTTATCATGTTTATATGTAACAACCAGCAAATTGAAACATCTTGGCATGGGTAACAACGGAGTGTTTTTTATGATTGTAGTGTAAAATAGCTTTATGTTGTGTCACCAACAATGGTTTGCGATTCATTGTATTTGGTATTAAAGTCAGTTCGGACAAGCGACATGATGTGTACTTGACTTGTACAAAATTACATCATGCATTTGTATTAGGCGAAAAAAGATGTTTACATTGGAAATATTGTCGCCTTATTTTATTCTTGTTAATTGTAGATAAACTTAAAGGAACCTTGTGCGGTCATCCACAATAAATACAGTATACGTTCGATACTTACTTCAAATATAAACTAGGAACCTGGAGTTCAGTGGTTGTTGTTTGTTGATGAGATTCATAAGTGTTTCTCACATCTCGTTTTTCATATAGATTGGACCGTTGGATTTCCTGTTTGAATGGTTTTACACTAGTCATTTGTGGGGCCCTTTATAGCTTACTGTTCGGTGTGAGCCAAGGCTCCGTGTTGAAGGCAGTACTTTGACCTATTATGGTTTACTTTTATAAATTGTGACTTGGAAGGAGAGTTAGTCTCATTGGCACTCATTCCACATCTTCTTATATTCATATGCCTAAATATTGTCGCTTTTATTACCCGCTTTTAATAACTAAACCTTTTACTTTACAGATTTATGAATAGTGTTCACTTTATCTTATAATGTTATGATACGTTAATATATGTAAGATGCCACATTCCTAAATGTCATCAGAGTGAATTTGGCTTTTCGAGTAAAAATATGAAACGGCTCCTTTGAGTCTTGACAATTATCAACTCACATATCTTTTATCGTCCAATCGGAATCACTAGAAATGTATCAAAGGAACATGTCTGTTTCGATGATTTTTACAACGAGTGTTTATTTCTAAAAACAGTTATCGGTCATGATTACAATGTACAAATTACATTCTCTAATTTTCACATTTTTCACCTCTGGAGAAAACTTTGTTCTTGACAAATAATTGGTCGAAATCTAATTATGACGTGAAATTTTCTTGGTTTCTACTGAATTTCCTATTTTGACGTCATAAAAAATGGCGACCATGCCTGATGACCTAACATATAAAGAACACAACTTTCTGCAAATTTTTGATAAGGAAGCAAAACTTTGTTTAGACATCGTCCAAAAATCATTCGAGAAACAGATTCCACTACTATAACTCGTATATAACGATATCTCTCCACTCTCAACAGTTAGAATTTTATTTATTTAAAACGTTCGTCAAGCCTCGTAATTTAAATATCGAAAAACAACTGTTTCGAGTGGAGAAATATCGTTACACACTTGATGCAGTGGTGTAATCTATATTTATCATCTGAACGACGGAATAATATCATTTCACAGTGATGCAATTGTGTACGTTTTTATTTCAATATCTTATCAATTTATTTGTTTTTTATACACTATAATTATTTGTAAAGTGTCATTACATTAACTATTTAAGGTAATACTTTGCACTGCCAGCTTTCGTCCATACTGATTGTAAAGTGAGGAATACAGAAAGCTGTAAAACAGATAATCATATTTTAAAAGCCACAACTTTCATAGCATTTCGAGGAATCATATTATAATATATTTGTCTGTATTTTTCTATAGATCGGTAGATATTTTTTTTCAAAGTACAAGTTGGTACATGTACATGAAAAATTAAAATATTACAATTTTAAAACTACGTTCATAGTCAGTAAGATGTATTTTGATACCAACCAATCTTTAGAGGCTTATGAAGCACTGTCGTTCATGTACGAATTATTATGTAAATAAATTTCAAAATCATTTAAATCTGAATTATATCTGAGGCTTTATTTTTTTAGGTAATTTCAATACATATGTTGTGCTAAATAATTTAAAAATATAGGTGTAAGTATCTGAATACTTATAGGTTTGACAGTGTATGGGATTTTGCTATGAATTTTAAATTTTGATCTTCTATATCCTTGTTGGGGATATTGCAGAAAATGCTTTCCTTAAACTTCCAGAGCAGTTTAAGACCACTTTGTATATAGATATAAGAAGATGTTGTATGAGTGCAAATGAGACAACTCTCCATCCAAGTCAAAATTTATAAAAGTAAAAAATTATAGGTCAAAGTACGGTCTTCAACACGGAGCCTTGGCTCACACCGAACAGTAAGCTATAAAGGGCCCTAAAAATTACTAGTGTTAAACCATTCAAACGGGAAAACCAACGGTCTAATCTATATAAAAAACGAGAGACGAGAAACACTTATGAACCACATCAACAAACGACAACTACTGAACACCAGGTTCCTAGTTTATATTTGAATTAAGTATCGAACGTATACTGTATTTATTGTGGATGACCGCACAAGGTTCCTTTAAATTTATCTGCAATTAACAAGAATAAAATAAGGCGACAATATTTCCAATGTTAACATCTTTTTTCGCCTAATACAAATGCATGATGTAATTCCTGACTTAGGACAGGTGCAAACAAATGCAGCAGGTTTAAACGTTTTAATGGTACCAAACCTTCACCCTTTTTTTGAAACAATAGTGTAACATCACAACATAGAAAGACACACTATAAAATATCAACTGAAATAGCTTAACTCAATCAATGTATACATAGGCAATTCCAGGAAATGCTTTATGTATGCTAAAGAGATGTACATAAAAAAGCAGGAGGATAACGGTTGCCTCTCTTTGTTCGTATCTGCATTTTTATCATGTGTAAATTAGTATTTTAATAAAAGTTAAAAGATATAAAATCAAAGAGATGAAATAAAATCGTAAATAAGACAACTATCCACCAGATCTAGAACCCCAAAAAACGTGGATGAAAGTACTGTACATTCAGAAATTATTGAGATGTTTTTATTATTGCGAAAAATGCAACAGTGTTATAATCGCAATAATTTAAACTCGCATCTTGAATTTTTTTATATGAATTAAACAGGATTTTCTCAATATCGCATAAATTAAAATCGCATTTTAGTCTACAATGACAAATTCGCAATAATAAATGCACGCAATAATTTCTGAATTTACAGTATTATAGGTCACTGAACGGTAATGACCAACATCATTTAGTAAAGTAGGCTAGAAAAGACCCCAGTATTACAAAATGTCAAACATTTCAAACGGAACAACAAACCCTGATTGATACAAAATTAAAAAAAAATAATTGAAAAACAAACATGGCAAATAGTTCTTCCTTCTTTAAGTCGTAATAATAACCCTAAACATGATTGTTTTCCCTGTAAAATAAAACTTCTTTACCAAGCTTTATAGACGTCACAACTAAAAATCTCCTTTTACGATACCATAACATAACCTTCAATATAAATAAGAAGATGTGGTATGAGTGACAATGAGACAACTCTCCATCCAAGTCACAATGTATAAAAAGTTAACTATTATAGGTCAAAGTACGTAAGTCGGTTTTTCATTTGATCGATCCTGACATCCCTCGGTGTGTTATACGACAAGAAACACCTTAAAATATGCATTATCTTTTACGGATTTTACCTTTATCTTACTTTTGGATTACTAATTGGATTATGAGTGCTTAGCTCAAATTCCACTAATACCTTCAGTACGACAACAAGGTAGACTATAGATCAATATGTAGGATGCAATGTAAATGACCATGCTGAAATGCCGATAATTTTGACTGCATCTAGACAAAAGCAGTATGCTAATCAGGGTCGGATATATTACATTGCAACAATCCAATAATTCAAGCCACGTGTTGCTCAATCTTTAGATTTCTATATAGTTTTTGTGCTCGTGTTTGTTTTTTGGTCGTCTTTAATATATTGTCATGGTGATGTCAGTGTCTCTTCGACTGATGAGTTTGAATGTTTCTTTGGTATTTTCCGCCTCTTTTTAATAGTTGCAAAGGGTCGTGAACATACATCGACCAGTTCTTAACAGTGGTAAGAATACAGGCATTAGTCAGATCCTTGGTACTGAATAAATTTGTTTATAACATATAACATACATTATATACTTTAATATCTTTCAATTAACCGGCTATTGTAAGCAGGCCAAGTGTTTACAATCTAGTAGTAGTAGTTTTAGTTGTTTAACAATTTCATCATTTGACAGACCATATTGAGTTTTAATGTTACCTTTTTGCAACAGGTTACAAAATTTACAAATTTCTCTGACTATGTATTTTGTTGAACGTTATTGATAGAGACAACATGTAAAGATGAAAAGACTGTATTCAATTTGGATGAATACATGCTGTTTTGTTCGCTGCTCTGTTCATTCGTATGTTGATGCATTGTATGATTGTTATATATTTTTTTCCATTAAATTTTAAGATATCTATCAAACAAGTCATTATGTATATGAAAATCGAATTCAATAAGCCGAATAGAACTTTGAAAAAAATCGACGTCGATAAACCTCAGGAAAAAAGAGATCACTTTGACTTTGTTAACTTCCAATTTCTATCTATTTTCAATCCAGCATAAACCGCAAACGGTGTATATATTTCAATTTTAGATTGCTGCATGCAAGTGAACTACTGATCACTCAAATAGGAAAGAAAAGGTGTTATCGCACCTCGGGTAAATTATGACGTTATGATTGGTTTAACGCCGTCATGTGGTGACCCCTTATGGATCCGTGTGGGGTCAGTAATTAATGTTTTTTGTATTTCATTGCTTATTTTTATACATAACTTAGCAGAAAAAGTCCCTTGTGCGATAAATAGGGTTAGAAAA